GTGTATCAACTGTTTTTTGAGGTCATCCGTCATTTGTATGTGTTTAAGAGCCATTTGAGATGGCATAGGGTTGGAAGTGTCCTTAAAGTTGAAAGTTTAAGTGTAGGGGGGTCGGCTCGTTCAAAATCGACGACATCTTAATAAACTGGCGTGAAACTACCATAGCGATGTGTTTTGCTATGTGACTCATGATACAAGACTGGACCTATCTCCACATCCACATTCGGCAACGTACCTACTCGTAAATCCTCTGACGGTGGCCTAGGAGAGCGCTTATTGCATATCTACCATCAGGTAAACAGATTTTTTTCTTATGGAATAGAAGCCAAATGAGCCGAACGATCACCTGATGGTAAGCGTTCTACATGTCCATGGACACCACAAAACCAGAGGAGTCACAGGTGCGTTGCCGGCCTTTTAACAAGGAGTACGCTCGTTTTGAAGGTTTGAAGGTTTGAAGGTCGTATCGGTTCGGGAATACCGCCGCCGAAAGATCATTCCAAAGTTTTGCTGTGCGGGGCAGAAAGTTTCTCGTAAATCGCACAGTTGATGCTAACTATCTATGTGATGGGGATGATTGCTCGTTTGCGCACCTATCACATATAAAATGCTAGACAGCAATTTTTGGTTCTTAAATTTCTGACTTCTGGATGAGAGATTCAGGCTCAGCTGTGGACGTCTTCCGATTAATGATTATCTGACACAAAAATATATCATTATGCTCACTAATAAGAGATTAAAGATTTACATAAAAACTTGTCATCCAAATATTTTGTGAATGTTGTGTGTGTCAAAAAAATATTATACGCATCCTATTCTTAACATTTGTGCTTGATGTATACCTAATCGATAATGTAAATTAAATGTTTAATATAGTATGTGTAACAATTGTAGACAAACCAGTAAATAAATAAAGAGTTCCTATACTTAAACTTTCTCCCAAATTCGCAATAACACTAATTACACTCGATGATGCAACAACTGCATCGAGTTACAGTAATAAGGTAATAGTTAATTGTGTTATAAACAACTCGAGTAGTTAGTTTGTAAACCGAATGCAATTACCTAACCGAATTAATGAACGGACTATGATCTCGTTCATAACTAAATTGCTTTTTAATTAATTACCTGTGTAGGTTCGGAAGTTAATCTAGCAAAGTGTGTTTTCGCCATCCTCGGTTCGTAGCCCCAAAATATTATCTGTTGGAGGATAAGTCAAACGAACCATTCATTGACTCGTTCTCCAATGAGTCACCGCGGCCTCGACCCAGAGCTGGAGAAGGAACGGGGGGTTTTTAGTCAGTATAAGAGTCTGACACACTCTCTCGCTTTACCCTGGGCGGGAGAAGTCATTTAATGATTTTCCCCTGACAAAAAAAAAGTTCTAGAGGAGAGAGGGATAAAGGACATATCTACAGGTTAGAAGATATGTCCCCATCCTGAATCACCGAATCGTTTAAACCCACAAAAGGTCGGCAAGGCAGTCATTAGTCCGGGTCCTTGATCCTTGATAGGCGGCTTCGAATGCTTAACATCAGGTTTTTTTTTATGTAATAGGTCGGCAAACGAGCAGACGGATTACCTGATGGTAAGCAATCAGCGCCGCCCATGGACACTCGCAACGGTGGAGTTACGAGTGCGTTGCCGACCTTTCAGGGATTAGGGATTTGGAGATATAGGGATTGAGGAGGGATTGGGGAAGGGGAAGGATTGGGCCTCCGGTAACCTCACTCACACGGCGAAACACAACGCAGTGGTTATTTTACGCCGGTTTTCTGTGAGGCCGTGGTATCACTCAGGTCGAGCCGACCCATTCGTGCCGAAGCATGGCTCACCCACACTTTAAGGTGATAGGCATGCTCGTTAGCTTACCTATAAAAAAAAGTGTCTTAATATCTTCCACTTTCAAGCACAATGATATGTAGGTACCGCGGCAGAATTGGAGCAGGAGAAGGGACGATATGGTTTTTAGTCAGTGTACTCAAACGCTCTTTCCATTTCAATTCCCCAACGTAATTTGTTCTCATGTGAGAGAGCCATGCTTCGGCACGAATGGGTCGGTTCGACCGGAGTGATACCGCTCCCTCACAGATAACCGGCGTTAAACAGCCACAGCGTTGTGTTGCGCCGTGTGAGTCAGGTTACCGGAGGCCCAATCCCTCCCCCTCCCCATCCGTTCCCAATCCTTATATATCCAAAACCTTTATCCCTAAAAGGCCGGCAACACACTCGTTACTCTTTTGGTGTTGCGGGCGGCGCTGATTGCTTACCATAAGGTAATACGCTTGCTCGTTTGCCTATATACCATAAAAAAAAACACGCGGAAGATTCCACAATCACAAAAAAGTTTCAACATTTCAGAAGTGCTGTCAATATAAAATATTCCCATTAATTTACCGCCCTCCTAACATCCCCTCATCCAATCAAATGGATGACATAGTAATGACGTCATCAAGTAAACAACTGCCATTTGCGCCGGGAAACTCCATGCTTCCATAGACAATCACTCTATATTGATGTTATTTTTATCGTTTATGAATTTGTGATAACTTTATGATGTGTTTTGTCAGTGTAAGGGTCAAGGTTCGTGTGATAAATAAAAGAAATTAATTGGAATTGCTTCGGATGTGAGGATTTTGTTTGTTGTATCTTACTTACAAGGAAATTTAATATAATATTTATGTTATATTTACGTTAATAAGGTTTTATAATTAAATCTCGAGGCTAGGACTCTTTAGAATTTTTTTCATGGATTTAGAGTAAAATACGTATGTATACCATATCATGGCACGGTTGGCGTGATGGCTGCCGCGCAATACATGTCGCGGTTTCGATTCCTGAACGGAACAACTCTTTGAGTGATCCACTCTCCATCCGCACTCTTTGTGCGTGTATGTTTGTAAACGCACCTAAATAAAACACAGGGGATTACATAGCGTGGAGCAACGCTTAAAAAATTATATGTTATATGAAATTATGTCTGTTAGCTTGCTTCTTGCACCAACCATTGTCTCATGTCTGAATCACCATAACTGATAGAAATTGTTTAAGTCACTCCCTCTTTATATATGTTTTCCTTGAGGTGTTAGACTCTTATTGATTAAAAGCCACCCTGTTCCTGCTCCTTGTACAGGCCGATGCCTCAGTACATTTGACCATATGAAAAAAACAATTACGTACCTAAATAGGCCAAACAGACACACGGAACTAAAAATAAATAATAAAAAAAAAACTTAAAATAATAATATACCTATTTATATAAAACATGAATCTATGCCCTATAAAGACCAGTCATAATAAAACCTTCATCAGTTTATTTTAGGCACAGCAGCCAGCCTTGACGAGTTCGTACTAAATATTTACGCAACACACTTTCAAAATAGGAACGAAAAAAAAAGTCTAACAAAAGATTACGTTATCGTTATTTATAACAAATGAATAACCGTTATTTGTATAGTTGACAACAGTTGTAAAAAGTTAATAAGTTTATTATAAACTTTTTTAATTCGCCATAGAGAAATCTGTTGGTCAAGGTTTGTCTATGTTAGGAAGGCTGTTTCGCGGTGACCCGTGCCTTGCCTAGCCATTCTAAACAATTATTTTAACATCAGAAAAAAAGTTACTGTTAGGTACTGTGTCTTTTGTATGAATTAACATTAAGTTACAATAATATTGTTAAATTGTTTAAAAGTTAAGGCACTTGATGTATTCTGTCTCGGAATAATCTCAAAAAAAACTAGATATGAACCCAAGACCCTGGACTCTGGCAGTGTTTCAGTCCATCTTGTTACTAAAAGAAATAGTATATGCTGTCTTAACAAAAAATCTATTACCTACATACAAATACTTGACTCTATGGACGTGTTTTCTGAAATAGATGTTTCTTTTTCAATTATTCCGTCGCGCCCCGTGCTCCGTCCCTTCTTTGTTCTTTGCACGGGTGTCAGACTACCGCGATAAAGAGGAAAGGAAAAATTGCCAATTTTGCCCAACCTATTCAATTCAATTCATTTATTTGCATTCCACAATGTTTAAAATTCCTCCAGGACAGTATCAAACAGAATAAATAAGAATTGACAAAATTTGTCAGCACATTTAGACATATTGACACATTTGTCTTATCATTAGATACTGATGTTTTCCTTGTTATGAATCATTAAGAACTCAGGAAGAGCGCTCTCTTAGTTACCTGTTTACAAAATTACACGTGAATTTATGCAGTTACCTATTAGGAAATAAGTATGTCCACAGTCGTGGTTTCGACTAGTATTACTATCTAATAAATAGTTTGGATCGTCCAGAGACATCCGCAGTAGACTCTAGAACTTGGAAATACGTTACCTGTTTTCCAGAGAAGGGATTTAATCTTAATTGGTTTTCCCCTTTAAGGTCGTGGTATCTTTTAGTAATACACATCAACAGACAATAAGTGCCACTGCTGAGCAAATACCTCTTCTCATACAGTTCAAGGCGAATTGGCGATTGGCGAAATTATACGATCTCACCGGCCAGCGTAAGCGTGGGTCTGCGGACGGCGAGTACGTTAAGGGTAGTTCGCTGCCCGACCAGAACCAGGGCCGAGCGTACGGCGCGTAGCGCGCGCCTCAAAGAGCCAGTAGACCACCACAGACGGGGCCCTATAGGGCTGTTGTTCAGCCGGGGTTGCGGGGTAAGCGCAATGAGGCACCACGACCTCGGCTCAGACCAGGAGAAGGAACTGGGGTTTTTGGTCAGTAAGAGTCTGACACTCCCTCCTGCCCGACCCTGGGCGAAAAAAGTCATTTGATGACTTTCCCCTCACAAAAAACAAATGTTTTCTCACGATGTTTTCCTTTCCCTATGATAGTGGTGGCTAAATAATCATAGAAAGTACATATAACTCTGAAAAAGTCACATTGCTGCTTGCCAGGGTTCGAACCCTTACGCATGATAAGCAGCCTTCACCTCCTAGACACCACGACACACTTCTTTTCGTAATTATTATCCCTTTTTGTCCACAGCTGCACGTGAGAAAATCGACGTCGAGAATAGTTCTCCACGCAAATGACATATCCATTGTGGATCCTATCATCCGCCAGGGTGATACGCAATCACACCAGGTCACGGGCTATAGGGTCAACGACACCTACAGCCTGATGACCATCAGTCTGGACAAGGAGTTGGAGGAGAACCAGAACTACACCCTGACCATACCGTTCTATGGTAACGTTAAGCACGGATTGGATGGAGCGTACATTAGCACATATGTTAATCAGCAGACGAAGGAGAAAGAGTGAGTACACTTCTTTTTTATGTGACGGCAAATGGATTACCTGATGGTAAGCAATCAGCGCCGCCCATGGACACCTAAACCAACGGAGGACTTCGAGTGCATTGCTGATAGAGTTTAGTTGGTTTTGGAGATTTAGGGATTGGGCCTAGCACTTTAGTTGTTTCACGTAGCTGCCGTAGTTTCACTGCAATCGAGCCGACCCATTCGTGAAGAAGCATAGTTATCTCACACTTACACTTAAGTAACTTATTCTTTATTTGATCATTTACAAATCTTGGTCTTGGAAATTTTAGCAAATACTTTATGATGCATTGTATTTTGATGAGCATGCTTTACCGTCAGTGTAATTCTGTAAATTAATAGTAATATGATCTTTTTGAGATTATTCTGGACGTTACATTTTTAAGGGATAACACACTGTCACACATGTCGCCTGATGGTAAGCAAGTAGCGCAGCCCATAGACATCTGCAACTACAGAGTATGCGCGGATGCGGTTGCCTTTTTTCTTTCTGTGTGTCGTGTTTCCGCCATCGTTTCCAAATAAGTATCATTACTCTTTCCAACTTAGCATGCATGTATTCTTTCATTTAGGATTTATAAGCACAGCCATTATTTCAACGACTTGATACTTTTTGCAAAACATTTTGAATGACTTTAGAGGTCAAGGTATTTGCTTGGCACTTAGCCAATGTACAATTTACAAGGATAAAAGACAACTTGCTTACTGGTGTTGATGCTATGTATACTAATCAATCTGCAGCTTCCTTCCTATACCTACAGTAGAAAAAATGTGGTACAGGTTCATGCCCAGTAGCTAAGGAGAAAATAAGATAAATATTATCTTTGTCACGTATAATAATGTATAGAGGCAAATGGTCTTGCAAAATCAAAGCTCGATCTTAACTTTCTTAACCAAATAAGGACAGGTTCCTTATTTGGTTAAGAAAGTTGTATTCTAGGGTTCATTTCCCAGTTAAATAGCAATACGGTTATACAACCTATTTCCTATTGTTCTGAATAGTTAGTAGTAGTATGCACCCACCGCTGCTTCAGCGCAACGTACCCTAACCGCAATGTTTCTGTTTTATTTATACTCGCATATTCTCTCCTCAGATACCTGATCACAACTCAGTTCGAGGCTATATCAGCACGCAAAGCGTTCCCCTGCTTCGATGAGCCGATGTACAAGGCCACCTACTCCATCGTCATTGGACATCACAAGGACTACACAGCTATATCCAACATGCCTCTGGAGAACTCTGCTTCAGAAAAGTAAGTATCGAGATTCTGCAGAATTACTGAAACCCCTGACAAAAGTTTCTTGGTGCGCAAATTATTCCAAAGGGCATCTACAAGCAGTGTCTTCGAAGTACACATGAACAAAGAGCTGTGTCTCTGAAGACCCGATGTTGCCATTTACTAAAAATAACCCCTTTCGTGGGTCGCCATATACAGACTACGACGATAAGACATCGCGATGCCTCTTTAAGCGTGAATCTATGTGCAAAAGATCAACTCATCAAGATCATGACTTAATTTGCGTATGGTGCGTTCTTTGTTAAAGCCCCCGAATTTGCTTAACATATAACATTAAAAAGTGTAATACAATAAAAAAAATATGCCAATCATAGGATGATGAAATCAATAACGCTAATGACAATTTAACCTAACAATCTACTTTGTTCCAGCACTCTCGAAGACCACTGGCCATGGAGTCACATTGAAAAGAAATTCAAGTAAGTTATCTAAAGACCTTTAAAAAAGATGCACACTACTATTAAGACTGATCTCTCACTTTTCGCAATTGTCTTACAGGAAACCTAAGTCTGAATTCGTATGGGATTCGTATGAGAAGTCGGTAGCTATGTCAACCTACCTTCTTGCTTTCGTGGTCTCCAAATTCTCCTTCGTCCAGAGCCCTTCGGACCTGTCGGATACTAAGTTCAGGATATGGGCAAGACCTGACGCCTTAGACCAGGTCTGTTGAGTTAACAGTTTTGCTATTTCTAAGTTCTTGTACTTATTTATCATTTTCTTTATGTAATGTATTATACTGTGAAAATACAGCCATTTTACATTTTAAAATCTACAGTACGTTGTGGTCGAACTAGCAAGCAAAATCACCATAACTTTAGTGTAATTGCTTTAAAATGTACCTTCATAAAACACAATATCTCACTCAGTTTTTCCTTCATCGACAGACCGCCTATGCCTCCAAGACTGGTCCCAAAGCCCTGTCGTACTTCGAGCAATGGTTCAATCTGAGCTACCCACTGCCTAAGCAGGACATGATCGCCATTCCCGACTTCGCATCAGGTGCCATGGAGAACTGGGGTCTCATCACTTACAGGGAGAAGGATCTGCTGTATGATGAGAAGCAATCTTCTTTCTTGAACAAGGAGAGAGTCGCTACGGTAAGCACTTTTTATTGGTACCTTCAGTCACACGGCGAAACGAAACGCAGTTTTTGTTTCATGCCGTTTTTCCATGAGGTCGTGGAATCACTCCAGTCGAGCCGGCCAACATAGATCTCCCACATAAAACACGGAACAATTAAGACATTTTTAAGTCTACTTCTACTTTCTTTCTCTTATTGTATCACAAAGACCTTAAAATAATATCATATCCCCAGGTAATTGCCCACGAGCTCGCCCACCAGTGGTTCGGTAACCTGGTCACCATGAAGTGGTGGTCAGACCTCTGGTTGAACGAGGGTTTTGCAACCTTCGCTGCCACCGTCGCAGTCAACCACGTGGAACCGACCTGGAACGCCGACAAGAGCTCTGCTGTCAATGATATGCTGCTCATCATGAACTTGGATGCTCTTGAGTCTTCACATCCCGTAAGTATTCTCATAATCTTCATTTGCCTTCACCTAGTCCAATTGCTTTGAAAATATTTAGGCTAGAAGCCACGAGTAATTTGAGAAATCGATGATTAATTTAAATCAAAATATTAAAACTATTCGGTTAATTTTTATAGAAAGACATTTATTATCGATGGCGTTTAGGTGGATCACGCAGAAATAAGACTGTGTATACAACACTAGCCACTTTAAAGCGGTTTCACCCGCTCAGCTCCCTTTGATTGTAGCGTAATGTTTTATAGCCTTTATAGCACTTAGGTTCCAAAGTTTACCCTCTACATACAAAATTACAAATTTTACGTCTTTCTAATATATGTATAGATAATTATAGCTGTCTAGCTTTCTCTGTCCTCAAATCTCCATAAGTAATTTAATTTTTCTTCTTCTTTTAATGTCATTTTTATATTTCCAGGTGTCGGTCCCTATCGACGATCCCAAGCGTATCTCTGAGATTTTCGACGACATCTCCTACCAGAAGGGATCCACTCTCATTCGGATGATGACCATGTTCCTCGGAGACGAGGTCTTTAGAAAGGCCATAAACAAGTGAGGGTTTTAAAGATATTTACTTATTTTTTCTAGAACTGTGGAATAAGCTGGTATGATTATCATTTGGCAAGTTTTAGAGTGTTATGATGCACGCGTCTGTAGACTGCCAATAAGTTCTGAGTATACCTACAAAGTAATTACACGTACGACCGATGCCAATGCCAAAAATGATTTTCCATCATTAAACTAACATTCCGGACCCCAAAGAGTAGCACTTCAAGCTTGAAAAGTATAGCTTTTTTATGTCGTAGGTCGGCAAACGAGCATATTTATATGAGCATAGGATTACCTGATAGTAAGCAATAAATGTGGAGGGATAGAGAGGGAGAGGGAGACCAAAGAAAATATGGATGGATTGTGTGAGAAGTGATATGGAAGACAGAGGAGTTAGCGATAGCGTGACGGGTGACAGGACAGAACGGAAGAAAAAAACAGATTGCGCCGACCCCAAATACAACGGGACAAGGGCAGGAAGATGATGTTGATGATGATGAAGCAATAAGCGCCGGCCATAGCATGGACACTCGTTATACCAAAGGAGTACAAGTGCTTTGCCGACCTCTTGTGGGTTGTTAGGGATTTACGGATATCCCCTATCCGTTTTGAGGATACAAGACTCTTCACGCTGGATTACTGTGAGGCCGTGGTATCACTCCGGTTGAGCCGACCCAGTCTTCTTTATTTCTTTCTTCTTTCAGCTACCTTCGTAAGTACTCATACAACAATGCGGAGCAGGACGACCTCTGGCGCGAGCTGACGGCAGTGAGCGACGAGTACGGAGCTCTGCCTGGCAACGTCTCCGTCAAGGATATAATGGACACGTGGACCACTCAGACTGGATACCCCATCCTTACCGTCACCAGGGATTATGAGGACAAGTCCGTTACCGTGATGCAGGTGAGGAATTATATAAGCACTGGCAGACCCAGACTATATATACTAATATTATGACTATAAATTGAGATGTAAGCTATGCTATCTTTCAAGTTAGATCAAAATGCACACGGAATTCAAATCAAATTTAAAATCGGTTTAGTAGTTTAGGAGTCCATCGCGGACAAACATGTGACACGAAATTTTTATATATAAAGATAATAAAAGAAAACTGTTTTTTTTTTATGGTAACACTATCTATCTTCCGCCTGCTGCTCCGCCCAAGTGGTATGTTCATTAAAAGCAGCCTATGTTTTTCTCCAGGGTATCACCTATCTACATACCAAATTTTAAAATCCAATTCGGTCCAGCCGTGTTATCGTGAAAGAATAACAAACATTTTCATAAACTTTCACATTTATAATATTAGTAGGATTTAGTAAAAGTAAAAATATTCGCTTTTGTCTAAAAAAAAAACACTTTTTTATCTGATAATCTATATCTTGAACGAAACTTTTTAAATCTTGTCAAGATAGCTACTAATAGTGCCGTTATCACGAGGTAGTATAGTAAATTAACTAAAATTCGCGGGTTACTCACGTGTGAATGTTGAGAAAAGCTCTAGTCTAGTCACGTGTGAATGTGGAGTAGGCTGCGCGACGTCGCCGCGTCCGCGCACGCTGCTCATGAGGAAGAACCCCTCTGTGGTTCGAAACTAGTAGAGCTTTTCTCAATATATACACGTGAGTAACCCGCGAATTTTAGTTAATTTAGTATGTCTCACGATAGTTATTATAAAAACAGGTAGTATAGTTTCATTCTGAAGTCACCTACCCCCGCTGCTCGTATAACCCACTTTTTGGTCTTGTGTATCCCCAAACCTTGACTGCAACAACTCTTTCCACAAATTGTTGTTCCGAGTCTGGGTGTGATGTGCATGTGAAATTGTATGTTTGTTACCACACCCAACAATAAGTGTAGAGCAACGTATTTAAAAAAAAATGCCGTCTCTTTTCTGCATTATTATCAATCGAACGTTAGAGTTTTATTATTCAAAGATCGTATGAAATTTAAAGACGAGTGTATTCGTACAGCGTCGCTACCTGTCCCTGGCGGCGCGGTCCGCGGGGCGTACGTCGTGGTGGGTGCCGCTGAGCGTGCTCAGCGAGGCGGAGGCGCGCGGCGCGGCGCCCGCACTGCGCTGGCTGGCGGCCGGACAGGGACTCACCTCGCAGCACCGCTTCGACCACACAGCCGAGCAGGACCAGTGGCTGCTCTTCAACCACGATATGATTGGTCAGTACTATTTTTTTTATACCATAAGTCGGCAAACGAGCACCAAGGGAGTTACGAGCGCGTTGCCGATCTTTCGGGAATAAGCGTTGCGGATATTTAGGGATTGGGAAGGGATAGGGGAGCGAGAGGGATTGGGCCTCCGGTAACCTCACTCACACAGCGACTCGACACAACGCTGGTTATTTTAAGTCAGTGTTTCACTTCGTTATTTACACCATGCACATCTAAGGATTGTAATAGCTTGCCTGCTTATCTTTACGTCCAGTTATAATTTTGGTGTCTTCAAGGCTTTAGTGAATAGGCTCTTAATAAACTGGTACGCTTTTCTGTCAACGATTGCATCACTGCTTACTATCAGGTCAGATTGCAGTCAAGCAACAGTTTATATAATTAAAACTTTATAAAACTGCTCTTTTCACACTGCATCGTCAATTTTCGCCATCTTCTTTTGTAGCTGCCGCGTCATCGTAATCGGTGGTCGGGTAATTAAATTATATTACTCCGCTCTGAAATTAATTTTGCTCATTGCCCATCTAACTTGCAGCGGACGTGTCTAGCCCACTTTCACTTCAAACTTACCGTTTTAGTATCAATAATTGAATGATAATTTCAAAGATAAAGATATTTTATATTTATTTCACAAATATAGGTAAAACTAAAGATGAACATTTTTGAACAAGCACAGCCACACTTTACCTACCATTGGGGATGCAAAATATACAAACATTGTCCGATAATTAAAAATTCAAATTAAAAATGATAACTATCTATAACAAAAAAACACACTATATAACTCTGCCAGGAATTATTTGTCTGTGTAAATAATTTAATTAAAGCTTAAACAATATTGACGTAAAGTTCAATCTTCCTTCCGCAGCTCCGTACCGCGTCAACTACGACATTGGCAACTGGCAGCTGCTGTCCAACACCCTGAAGTCCAATGACTACACGCGCGTGCCTCTACTCGGCAGGGTTCAACTCCTGTCTGATGTATTCGCACTCGCTTGGACCAACCACCTCGAGTACTCCACCGCACTCAAGTAAGTATACAACATTTTACAGCAAACGAGCAGACGGATTACCTGATGGTAAGCAATCAGCGCCGTCCATGGACACCCGCAACAGCGGAGGAACTACGAGTTGCCTTTTGGGGATTAGGGATTTGGAGAGTTTTGGAATTGGGCAGAGATTTGGGGAGAGGAAGGATTGGGCCTTCGGTAACATCACTCACAACCAGCAACACGACGCTGTGGTTGTTTCACGCCGGTTTTCTGTAAGGCCGTTGTATTACTTACTTCGGTCGAGCTGGCCCATTGGTGCCAAAGCAAGGCTCTCCCAAACTTAACTTCTTTGAATATTAATGAGAAATCTCTTATATCTTAATCGGGAATGTTTGATTTTCTATCTTCAGCTTGGCATCCTACCTCCAACACGAGACAGAGTACCTCCCTCTGTACACCGGCTTAAGAGGACTGATGCAGATCGAGAATGTTCTCAAACGCACTCCGGACTACGGCGCCTTCCAGAAGTTTGTGAGGAAACTCATCGGCGAGATATACGTGAGGTCGGGAGGACTTGCCACCAAGAAGATCCTCAACGGACACGACCTGAACAGCGTCAAGATGCAGGTAAACGATCTATATAACTAGAATCGACAAATACATTGTATTTATGAGATTTAATGCCAAAATGGAGGAAAGAGGAAAATATTAGTTTCATACTCTTCCAATGATATTTTCTGGTCAATTTGAAACTTTTCATGTCCTTGAGAGAATTATGATGCTGTCTGTGACTACTGTAGATCCTGGCTTATAGCTTTACTAGCATCCGCCCGCGGCTTTGCCCGCGTGGTATGGTGATAAAAAGTAGCCTATATATTAAACTTAGTATCACCTATCTACATAAAGTGCATACAAATTTAAACCAAATCAGTCCAGTTGTTTTTGAGTGAAAGAATAACAAACATACATTGTTACAATCTTTCACATTTATAATATAAGTAGGATATTTGTTAAATAGGAGTTGCAGTTGTCTTTCCCCCCAAAATATGACCCTCTTTTAAAGACCCCAAATAAAATGATTGAATCATTGAAGTTAACTATGCTAATGCCATTTACCAGGTGACAATGAGCTCGTGGGCGTGCCGTATGAAGGTGCCAGGGTGCGAGGAGAACGCCATGCAGCTCTTCCGCCAGTGGATGGACACTGAGAACCCAGATGAGAACAACCCGTGAGTAGACTGCTCAGTTGAAAGGGACATTTTGTTCTTATCTGACAGCCAAAGTTATGAATTACTTCAAGACTTGGATGAACTGGAGACAATCACAACGGTAGCGTGATCTATCCAACTATCTATTGGGATAGGTAGTGTTCGGGTTTTTTCTCTTGTGTATTCGAATGGCCTTCAGCTGCTAGTCAAGGCATGCACGTTGCCATTGAAGTCATTGTTCGTCTTCTTCATAAAAAATCTAGTACCATCAGACTTGAGCAAGCATGGTGATTAATGTCCAAATCGCCATGGAAATGGGCCGCCGATCGTATGAGCGATGTGTTTGTTTATGAATCTGATTGAAAAAGAGTAACCATGGAGTTACTTACTCGTTCTTTCACATCCAAATCTACTTTGCAACGAGCGAATAGCTTCACTAAGAGGACAGACCGACAGACTGACACTTTTTATCTTTAAGCTTCGACCGATGTTGAAAAGTGCCTGTAAGGGTCTAATTGAAATAAGTGATCATTACTATGACTCATTAACACTGCCATACGTCGGCAAACGAGTAGACGGATTACCTGGTGGTAAGCAATCAGCGCTGCTCGTGGATCCTCGTAATACCAAAAGAGTTACTACAAGTGCATTGCCGAGCTCTTGTGGGTTATAAGGGAGTTAATTGGGCCACCGGTAACGTTACTCACACGGCGAAACACAATGTAAGTGTTTGTTCATGTCGGTTTTCTATGAGGCCGTGGTATCACTCCAATCGAGCCGGTCTCTATTCGTGTATGACTCTTCCACACTTGTTTTTTATATTATATTGTAAACAGCTACAATTTTATGCTTGCTATAAATATACAAAACATTTTTAACAATATTGTATGTAGCTTACAGCGCTGCTTACAGATTATCTGTGGGATAATACGGTAGTTTCCAACTAGTCAAATTCAATACTTTTATCTAAACTTTTTCTATTATTCTATGAAATTTGTATGAAAAACTGAGTTATGACGTCATAACATTTTTGCGTCAAATAGCTTACTTATTTCTTAATAATTAGCTAAAATATCTAAAACTTAGTGTATTGATCGATTCTGAATAAGAATATAGTTATTCTTCAATATGTTACCGTATTGAAACGTCGAATTAGTTTATTTTTGATCTAGTAACCTACCCAATTAATTTTTGTTTTGTTACTGTTTGTCGTTTAAAAGTGTGTATAATGGTGTGATTGTAACAACTTCTTACTACTTTGTATGTGTAAGGTGTGAGGCTACATCATCGTAATAAATAATGAATGTGCGTCAGTATCCCGCTGGACCTGCGTCGCAGTGTGTACTGCGTGGGGGTGTCGCGCGGCGGCCCGGCGGAGTGGCGGTTCGCGCTGGCGCGGGAGCAGCGCGCCAACGTGGCCGCCGCGCGCTCCGCGCTGCTCGCCGCCCTCACCTGCTCCAAGGACGTCTGGATACTCGCGCAGTCAGTATATCAATGCTTCTACACTAGCATACTTTACTAAACGGTTGATGCGGTGGCTGGACCATGAGCAAAGCGTCCTCAAATTGTTGTTCCGAAATTGAATGTTTGTAACCGCGCCCACGACACACAAGAATATAATAGGGTGTGGCATCGTTTTTTAAAAAAAGAAATCATACTACTTATACCTACTCCTCATTATTTCTTTTATGTTTAAGTCCTTTGTAAAGCAAAAATCAAAAACTAAATTGGTTGACATTAACATCAATTATCGTAAGGCCTAGTTTATAAAGACGCGGCATTGTCATACATTCGTACAAGGCGCATTATTATTTACGCAAATTACGACAAACTATGCGCTGCGTCTCCGTGAATAAGGGGAGTTTCTCTAAGGATGTCTCAACTTTAGTTGCGGAATAAGCACATTAAGATAAGCTTCCGAAGCCTCTGTCCAAAGCAGGAGAAGGAACGAGGAGGTTTTACTCACTAAGAGACACTTCCTCTATACTAAATACTACTACTACTACTATATCTAAAGTCTATCTGTAACACAGGTACTTGGAATGGACAGTCACGGAAGGGTCTGGCGTGCGTAAACAGGATGTCCTACCAGTCATCGTAAACATCATCAGGTCGCCCGTCGGGTACTACGTCGCCAAGGACTTCATCTACACCCGGGTCGAAGATATTTACAATACGTGAGTATTCGTCTACTAATATTCAACCGTTGACCTTGCCAAAATGAATATCGGACCTTGATCTAAAATGTTTGGAATAAAATCGAATCTTGATTCTATGGAGATTCCTTTCCAAAATGCATTTCTAATTTATTAGGGACTAACTTCTCTCGCGCTGTTTCCTCCAGCTCGGCTCCTACAGATCGTAGCGTGATGTTATTTAGCCTAAAGCCTTCCTCGATAAATGACCTATTATACACAAAAATATATTTCTCTTTCGAACCAGTAGATCCTAAGATTAGCGCGTTCAAAAAAAAAACAAACAAACTATTCAGCTTTATAATGTAAGTATAGATTTAAGAATAAGGGATTTAGGGGTATGAGGTATTCTATGAGGCCACAACCCGAAATTTCTAAATCTCCATAACTCTAATCCCCATAAGGTCGGCAACGCACTCGTAACTCCTGTGGTGTATTGATAATGATAATGATGATTGTTTGTGTTCCAGGTTCAAGGGCCAGTACAGGCGCATGGGAGACATGATCAAGACATTGCTGCAGCAGTTCACCACCCAGGGAGAGCTGGACACTGTGAGTTAACATATACATATTAACGTTAAACTACACTACTTATCCACGTGTTGTTTTTTATAATTGCCATTACTCAATTTGTTATTTTCATTATTATCTGAAAAAAGATTGGCAAACAGTTAGGCGTATAACATGATGGTAAGCTATCAGCGCCTTCCATGGCCATCGGATTTGAGCATTTAAATAGTGAGGATAGGGATGGCGTGGGAGGTTCGAGTTCCGCCCACTCTCTAAAAACGCCTTTTGTAACTGATAAAACCAATTGGAAAAAGGTTTATAAGACTATTACATTACAATCAGATATGCTATGCTGTTTTAACAACGTCAGAACAAAATTATGGTATTACAGGTCGCATTTACATCTATTTTCTTTTTATGTTCCTCTGAATAAATATTAGTGTTACATTGTTCTCGCATATTCGAACCAAATTAATATTGTATCTACGAAAGAATCTGTATGTGAAACTGCTTGAAAAAGAGTAGGTACCTAACCATAGAGGTTTTTGCTGGTTCTTCTCCATTGGAATCTACACTTTGGAACGAGCAAATAGCTTCATTTCTCTGACACTGTTTATCTTTAAGCTTTGTTTGACGTTCAAAAGTGCTTGTAGTGATTTAGACTTGACTTTGTCTTAGAAGAATTTCATGTAAAATTTTATCCGTTACAGTTCCTAGCGTGGCGTGAGAAGAACACCAAGTTCTTAGTCGACTCGAAGTTGGCTGTAGAACAAGCCATCGAGAACGCGAAGGTCAACATCAACTGGATCACGAAGAACAGGAAGAATGTCGTCGATAAACTCAGGGAGTTTTCCACGTAAGGAGTTTAGTTATGTCACCGTTTGTCAGGGGAATAAATTGCGAAAGATTTGCTGGCGTCAAACTATCGCATTTGGACACTGAATCTACATTATAAAGCAAGCAAAAATATAATAAAATGTCTCCTTACTTGTTTGAATTGTGTTTAAGACTTTCTTCAAAATTCCCTCTTTAAGAGTTCAAAGTTTAATTTCGGTTTAGGTAGCTATTCTCCTGACAAATTAGCAGAAAATGAGGCCAGTAGGTCCAATAAGAGTCCTAGTGCTTCTATGTAGTGTAGTAGCTAGATAAGTAGGCATTGTAATAATTCGTATACTGTACTTAATATGGCTGACATTTTTAAAAAGCATAGCTTCGTATTACTAGTTCGGTTGCTTTATAAGTAATTCTCACAAATAATTTGTTTCACATATAAAAATGTTAATTGGTTTTTTTATTAAATAAAAAACGGCCTCTTCCTAGCTCCGGTTTACCAATAAAACTTCAATTTTAGAAATTAAATATTTCCCGTAATTAACAGTATTTTGAATTAATTTTATTCTAATTGAAATGTTTAATTTCTATCGTGTTAAGTACCTAGATACTTAATTAAACGTAGAACAAAATAGCTAATTACAACCAGTGTAGAACAAACAGTAGTTTGTAATCAAATTTTATAACGTTTAGTTTATTTTTAGTCCGCGACGACAACCTGGGATGCCGTGGAAGGGACAGCCTAGCTTCATGAGTTCTATATACGCGATACACAACATTTCTAGAGCTCGGCTGAGGCCGTTTGAGTATTACGTCGGAAAATAGTGTTTATTTTGTGATAGGAATAAAGACTGTTGTTATATTTCAGACAGTTAAAGGGTAAATTAATATCCAAGTTAGGGGAAAGGTTTTTCAATGTGTCTGAATTTTTAATCAAGTCAACTGACAGTTTTTTTTTACTTTTTCTACAACTTGGCGACTTGCTCTGCCGTGCACCTATTTTGTTTTTAATTAAACACTGGCTTTATTTGTGTTGCCAATTATTATTTTAATGGCTTTAATTTTGTGTTACCAGTGAAAAAAACTATATTTTCTTTAACAAGCTGCCTCGTTTACCTATTTGTTATTGTTTATGTATTTAATTTTTAAGTTTTAGATGAATCTTGATAGAAAAAAATCTAAATAATTATGTATTTCTGCAATGTTTTATAATAATGATGATTTTAATTCTATTTTAAATAATTTATAAAATACCGTTGGCATAATGTGTAGATATTTATTGTTAATGGTATAACTCCGTCCAGTACAAGTTTATGAATCGTTACTTATTTCATAAAAATAGAATTAAAAATAAAATGTCTAATTATATTTATTTGTTTTGTTTAATTTTTGTTTGTTCCTTTTGCTTATTTTGTGTTTTACAGTGCACTCGATGCTTTTATATGTTGACAAAAGGAGGTAAGTTTTTATTTTAATTTTTTTATTGGTCACGAAAATCGTTTTCTTTACAAGGTTAATTTGCCTTTCATATCCAGAAACGATTATTTTTCAACAATTGAGATGACAGATACAGAGTATGAATAGTACAAGACTTATACTCGGAATTTTAATTCCATTCCAGATTTGACAATTTCAGTGTGGCAACGTTATGACACGTAATAAATAGTGACGTTGCGAAATTATTCGATATGGAAATCGAATATTTCTGAATCGATTCCTCTCGTTTATAAATTTACTCTCGTAAAGTAAGTTTATCAGGAAATAAAATATTTCTGGACCGATAATTTACTTTTGACAATTAATTAACGATCTGAGACTTTTCTTTTGTAATTTTGTGTGAAATTAATAAAAAATGTGATCATGAAGGAACGTGACAAATAAAACAGACATTTTATAAATTGTCGCCGTCATCGCTATCGCTATCGCTGTTACTTTATGTAACATTTATTATGAATTGTGTCTGTAATATTAATTGTCAATTAACATATCTAGCTTACTCATTTTTTCCTCTTCTTTGACAACATGGGATATGCATTTGGACCATTCGGAAGCCGTAATTTTTTGAATGCCTTCCTGAAACTGATTCACTGATTGTTTATCGATTTTTGTGTTCATCACTACACTGTTATATGTGGTATCATTATTTCACAAAATGACAGTGGTCAATGTCAAATCAGGAATCGAATTAAAATTTTGACTATAGATCACCTTACTTGTCGACGTTAGTTAGACGAAAGAAATCAGACTACAAAATGTTCTGCCAACTAGATGGCGCTTACGTAGCGCAAGCTTTTGTTCATACAATAAATTCAATAACAGGAACAATGGCAGCCTTCTAGGAACTAATTGGCCACAGAACTTACGCTACACTAGTAATCTCAGAAAGAATCATGGCTGGATTTTTCATGTTTTATAATATTAGTGAATTATGCTTTCGACCACACTTCACACGCGTACAAAAGTAGATAATGTATCCCGGGATTATAAAAACAGCAGCGTTTGAAGCGATAGCTCAACTCAAATACTTAGGTCTATAAAGCACTCAGGAACATTGTAGCTATCTATCAGTGAAAGAATTTTGAAAATTTTAATCTTATCTTTTAAATTTTTTTTTTTTATATTTTAATCTTATCTTTTAAATTTTATAATATTAGTTTAGTCGTATAGGTACTCTAGTCTGGACACAATTTGTGCTTGGTATTACACACATAGACTGGCACTGGACCGCTCGGTTCCCTATAATATGGTTGAGTTGGGCGGTGCTGGTGTACGTGTCATGTTCGTGAACGGGCGCCACCTATTGGGACCGGTCAACTCGCGTCTGTCTCAAGTTGGTGTCCTTGAGGTTAATTTCTTTTTCGATTTTTTTGGCTAAATATTAGTGTTACACTGTTCCCACTTAGAGCCGACTAAATGATGTAACAAAGTAATGAATTGTAAAACTGATTGAAAATTAGAAACCATGAAGTTTCTTGCTCGTTCTTCTCCATAGGAATCTACACTTTGGAATGAGCAAATAGCTTCACTAGAGGACAGACGGACAGACTGACACGCATTAAATTGAACCTTGAATGAACTTTTTGCTACTACCAATAGATTAATCTATTTCTTTAGTAAGTAACACGCACAATGACATATTCCAGGGTCCTCCCAGACGAGCCCCAGGTCAACGCAGTCAGCATGTGCAGTGCGCAAGTGTCCACTGTACTCATACCGCTTTACCTCCTACATTTTATGAGAAACTAGCGATTTATTAATACAAATTTGCTGTTTTATTTCCTCTCCTTACCTCCTTTATAAGCACTTAAAAGTAGAAGTTTAAATACTTTGGGAATGAGTGTATTTTGCTCAGATGGCGCTAATGTAGGTTTAGGCCTTAATAATGTGTTGCGGGGCTAGCGCAATAAGATACTGCGGCTTCGGCCCAAAGCAAGAAAAGGAATGGGGGTATTTAGTAAGTAAGAGTCTGACACTCTCTCTCTCTCCATACCCTGGGCGGGAGAAGTCATTTGATGATTTGCCCATCAACGCTTCGCGCCGTTCGCTCGGGTCTGGATCCGGTCGGGCGACGAACTACCATTACTCGTCACCGAGATCGTCGCTCGATCCCAAATGCCAGGAATGTCGAATGTTGCAGCGGCTGGGGCGTGAGGAGAATAATTCCCTCCCGCACTCCTCCTCCAATTTAATCATTTGGCTGAATTTCTTGTTGGCTAACATTTGGAAAGTATTATTTTTGGCCTCTATATTATGACCTCTTGTTTTTTTTGAGATAATACAAAGGATGAAAAGGGTAAGAAATATTATTGATTTTTAGGAACACTACAAGAGGAGATACAGGTACAAAATAAAAGTACAGTGTTATTTGTATAAATCTATATTGTATAATAAAAACGTTGAGTGTATACTTATACTAGAGTAAATAATACTTTACAAAATGCTTCAATTTAGACATATCGACATATCCGACGATGGCACCGCAGGTAACTTTAGTATCGAACTACATCATACGTTCAAATATATTGTTTTCATATAAAAAAAATTAACTCACAAAATAGACGTGGCAAATCATATTTCGTTAATTACCCAACAACGCGTTTTAAAATTCCCTAAGACGTTAACGCATAGCAAGACAGATATGTATATAACAACATGTAATATACAATTATGTTATTCATATAAATATACATATTCAAACGCGTACAAGAAAACACAAGCAGTTTCCACAACACAGATAACTTTACAATGTTACATAAAAATAATAATTATAATAAACTATACAATAATATAATCATTTACCTTAGAGTATTTCAGATCATTACATTTAAAACTAAACTATTAATAAAAGCAAAATAATTGTAACAATATTGTAATAGGTCGTTGTTATAATATTTTATGATATTTACTCTTTTCGTTAGTTTCTATTGTTGATAATTATAAGAGTAAAAAAATATAAATTGCATTTTTTTCATTCTTAAAAAAAATATCCTTTAAAGAAGGTTGACGGCCAAAGTGTTTTAAATATCGAATTTACAAAAAATAAAATATAAATCTCACAAAATCCTCAATTAATGGTGAAAAATTGCCTAATTCACATCTTTTAATAAAAATAAATGCTTTTCAATCACAAACAAACCAATTAAAGAAATAAAATAAATAAACACAAAACAATTTCGATACACAACCTAAATTTTCATTATAATAATTTACATATTTTTTTAGTAGTCAACATTTAATATTTATGCTAATGGCAACTCTGGACAAGATGGCGGAAAAACACGAATAAAATTGGCACTATTATGTATAATAAGGCACTCTTCATGTACTATACATTAATAATATTCACTTTACAATAAAAAGCCGTTATTATTTAATAATTATAATAGTAGTAGGTATAATAATATCAAATTGTCATACTAATCCTTAATTAATAAATCAATTCCTTTAGATATGTCTGTTTTTATAACAATTTTATATCTAGATAGGCTGTCTACATAACTTAGAAAATATTAGTTAGTTTGCTTAGCCACTTCACTTCCTTAAAACCAGGATCTACAAGAGATGCCAACCAAACCAATTACCGAAGTACTAAAACGCGATAGACCTCAAGACTAAGTTCTATAAAAAATTACTAGGTGGGCCCCGTGGTGTCACTCATGTTTTTTAGGGTTTCGTTGTCAACTAGGAACCCTTAAGTTGACCGGGGATAGCGTATCTTGCCAACAGTGAAATATTGGTAGGCCAGAGCCTATTCTTGTCTCTTTATAATATTAATACTTTTAGACTTCGTCAATGTAAATCATCGACAGCGGACGATTATATTCGAAATTTAGTTATTAAGTTTTTGGTGTGATTACATATATCTCTATTTTAATGGCAGTGTTTTGTTAAGCAAGTGTCTATTTATACCATTATAAATCACATTAGTCACTTTAATGTGGGATATGACTACGCGGTTGGCACGGTGGCTGGACAGGCAGCTCGCACTACGTGGCGCGGGTTCGATTCCCGCACGGAACCATTTTTTGTGTGATGCACAAATTGTTGTTTCGGTTCTGGGTGTGATGTGTATGTGAATTTGTATGTTTGTAAACGCAGCCACGACATAGGAGAAAACCCTAGTGTAGAGCAAAGTTTATGTTACTAAAAACTAATTTGCAACAGCTTATCAGGACATATAATTGATCTATTAAGATCCTTATTAAATTAACTACAGCTTCTCAATTCGTATAACACATGTCTCTTAACTATAACAAAATAATTATATATTTTTTTTAGCTAAGAAACTTTGCTTTGAAAATTGGCAACATCGTAGGTAATATATATAAAAAGTAATAGCACAATATATGTCTGTCTTATTGTAATATATTGTAATATTTGTAAATAATGTATAATAATATCTATGAGAACGTTATTGTAAAAATGCTATTTGTCTTCAAACAAATTATAGACTAAATAACTTTAGTTTTGCTGAAATTAAACTAGGTAGTACTTGGTTACTGATAGAAATAATATCTACACGCCTTTTTAATCAATGCATTGTCATATGAATTTGTAATTATTATTAAATCTAAAATATTGCTTTAAGTCTATAAATGTCTATTTTAATATAAGCTAATAATAATAATTCTGTTCAAAATGCATAAGTACATTGTTTGTCTCAAAAGGTGCATTGTGATAATTATCATCCGATTTCTAAATATTTTAATTGATATGTTCAATGATAGAAAGTAGCTTAACAAAATTAAGGATATAATCTTCGATAGCTCTTAAACTAGACAATAAGAGAATGTAATAATAATACATTTGTAATTGTCTTTATGAAATAACTGCATCGGTTCAAATAAACCCGAGTCTTCCAAATGGCGATACCAATGTTCATCGACCACCAGACTTAACGCTTCTTAAGTCAATTCCGTAAAATGTAGTCTTTATAACTTCGTTATTGTTTTTAAATTGTTACTTTATCAAAGCTTTCTGGACTTATTTTCAAAACTTTTCATATGGCAAACAGAAGATTAATTTTAAAGAAGAAGCTAACCGAATGTGAAATCATTTTTGAATGGTCTTAAAATAATATCCTATACATTTCGCACACAACATACTTCAGCCAGTTTGATAGATAAGTCTATATACCTTTATTTCCTTAATCACGTTCCTTACACGTCGGGTTCTACAAACCCAGGTCTGGCAGTGGTTCTCCTCTTGCGTAGGGTGCCGAGTATGGCCAGCATCTCCTTGACAGCCTCAGGTTGTTCCTCCTTCACCTTCTTCTCCGTGAATTTCTGGTCAGTGGACTTGAGGTGGAATTTCCCACCTTTGATCTGGTCTACTATTGCATCTATCGCGCCACCTGGAAGGAAATTGAAGTTGTTTTTAGATTGTATACTGAGCACGCATACCTTTATGCAACCTATTCACTCTGGCTTTAAAGACACCCAGGTCAAGTCACCCCTTCAGGGAACAGCTCCGACAAATACAAAACTTTTTTATAGTATAGGGTAATTCATCAGCGCCGCCTATTGGCACCCGCAACACCGAATTACGAGTGCGTTGCCGACCTTTCAGGGATAAAGGTTTCGGATATTTAAGGATTGACAAAAAACTAATTGCAATATGAACGATGATATTTGATCATAAATGTACTCACCACAATCGGCTCCATTCTGTTTACTCTTCCTAAGCGTTCCACTCTTGTTGGCCAACATCTGCGCCATGTCATCCGCGCCCGACGACTCGAACGCTACTGGCGCCGGCGGTGGTGGGGGTGGCGGAGGAGGGGGAGGAGGGGGCGCCGCCGCCAGAGAAGGAGGAGGCGGCGGGGCTTGCGGCACCGGAGGGGGAGGGGGGACTGGGGGAGCTGCTGACGAAGCTGGTGGGGGAATTGGGGCAGGTTCTGGAGGCTGTGGTGGTGACGAGCTTGTTGTTGGAGCTGTGAATGTGGAATGCTAGTTTTAGTAGGTACAGATGACATAGTAAGTAACAAAACAAGGTCTATCTTAAGTCTAGGTTTCAACCATTGAGCTAGGTTTTGTATTTTGAATCTTAGTCTCTTCTACCTTTAATTTCAAATACAAAAACTGGCTAAATGGTTTAGACCTAGACTAAAGAAGAACCTTGTTTAGTAAAAGGCCATAAAAGTTTAAGTTTACCATCTTCTGATGAACATAAAGCAGTTAACCTGCATTGACATGAACAAAATAACTACATAACATACACACAAAACAAGAAGCAACTTCTCTAACATTTTCTACTTCAATAGCAAAACCCAACTCACCACTAACTGCGGCAACTTCTTCTTTAACTTCATCCATCTTCTTCTGTCCACCTTGCTCGAAGTAGGATATCCTGGCCATGAGCTTGTCCCTGGCCTGAGGTCTGGCAGCAGTTTTTTGCTGTAACTCCCTTAGTTTCCTCTCAGCAGCCTCGGCCCTTTCTAGAGCTTTCTGAGCGTCTTCCTCGGCCAGGCGGATCTTTTCCTCCCATAGTAATATATCTGTATCCTCGTGCTTCTCTGCTAGTTTCAACTGAAAGAAAAAATATAATTTGGTTTGTATAATATGAGATATGAGAAAATAATTAAAATTATTTATAGAGAATAATTAGCATAAAGGGTTGGACCCAGAATTGAACCCTGAGGAAGCCCATACTTATTGCACAGATTAGCGACGTTTTTTTTTTCATTTTGATCTACTTCCAAGATAATTTTTAGTACCTATATAGAATAATTAGATTGATAGAGAACATATTTACTACTGCATGTAATAACGACGCAATGTTTTATTGAGAGTATTACTATATTAATATACAAAATGCAATCAAAAGCCTCGGAAAAGTTAAAAAATAAATAAAAAGGATTTAAGTAAGCCTTCGATTTTTTATTAGAACAACAACATGAATGTCTACATGAAAAACATTAAAGAAGCATATATACGGTCGAACTGAAAACCCATTGGAAGCCGGTTAAAATCCCAATGTTGTTAGGGATTGTAAGTCACAGAATGAAATTATCTCTTACAAGTATTCACATTGTTCAAAATGTTTTAAAAATGTCTAGGACTACTATATTGCAGCAAAATGCCCATCCCCAAGTGAATAGTAATAACCCAACACACTTGCCAATCTTGGCGATTACGGCAAGCGCGTCTTTGTAGAAAAAACCTACGAAGTATTGACGATCAAATGACTAGTGAGGGTACCAACCTGTAATTCATCAAGCTGGTCTCTATGCCTGAGTGCCTGGTCCTCCAATGCGTCCTTGAGACAGTCCACTTCATGCAACAGTCTCTGCAGTCTCTCATCCGGCGGTAGGTCCCCGCCTAGTAAGGAGCCCATTAGCAGACTGCTTTGGTGAGTCAGTAACTTCACGCGCTTCTTCGCTGCGCGGGCTTCCGTTCTGTATCTGTAATTATAATATTACGTTAATAACTTTTGGGTTGTTTTGGTAGGGTTTCTACTGTTTCATCGCATACCTTAAATATTAAGATTGTGAAGGTCTGGATTATTAAAGCGCAATTTTATTTAATAAACTCATGTATATATTGTATAGTATTTTGGAAGAGTATCAAAACTATTACCGAGTTTCTTTTTAGTAATTTAGCATTTTATAATACTGTGTTTTGAATCTGTGACAACCCCATTTCCCCTGTGAAAGTTAAATAATTCTGGTGGGTAGCATAAGGCACTAATAATAGCATAGGAAAAAACAGGTTTTGCACATCTACTCTGGTTTGGAATACTAGAATTTTCTATTTTAGGTATATTAGCAAAAACTATTGTTTTTTTTCTTTTTATTATCTATTAATTTATCTAACTATCTATTAATCTTGTCAAAGTGACTCACGTCTCAGCCATCTCGCGATCCTTGTCAGCATTGTTCTTCAACCCGGTGACCTCCTCCATGAGTAGCTTGGACACCCGGTTGTGTCTCTCCAGCTGGATGCGAAGCTCCTGCAGCTCCTTCTCCTGCGCTGCTGACTTCTCTTTCTCTGCTTCTAACTCCTGGAATTAAAATTTCTTTTAGTTAACATCTTAATTGATAGAAGTGAAGTAGACTTAAAAAAGTATTTGAATTTTTGAAAATAATTTTCCGCCAATATGTTTATTGTATAGTCACGTGTGAAATACTGAATTTATAGAAAACTAGCAGATCGCCCCTTGCTTAGCACGGATATCCGACTATCCCGGTGTCAGTCATTTGTTTTGCAAACGAACTTCCACGGCTCCGAAAGAGTTGTTGGTACCCGGGGGTCTACTCTTATTCTACGAAAAACGAACTTTCGATCGAAACTTCGCGTGTTTCCTACCACGGTTTCAATTCGTTCCGAAATTTCGTTCGAACGAAGACGTTTGACATTTAGAACCTACTCTAATCCTTATTAGCTCCGAACGAACTTTTGAATTTGACAGACGATTTTTCGGATTTTTTACTACAAATTGACGAAACCAAAAATGTTACCTTTTAATTTTCGTTTAAGTGTGGATTTTGTATGAAAATTGTTTGAAATGGCTACAAGAATGCTCTAAATCGAAATTACACCCTTTAACCATCACACGAGAAATTAACTGTGTAGTTCTCCTTATTGCACTTAAAATAAGGTTGAAATTACCTGAGCAATAGCCACATTGGCCTCATGAGCCTCGAACTCGTGCAGCTTGGCAGTCCCCAGCTCTGTCTGCAGGGCGGCCACCTGCGCGGACAGCTCCGCTACTGTACTCTTCAGGAACTCCACCTCCTCATTGCTGCTCGTGTCTGAAGCTGGAACGGAGGAGTATGTATTGATAAAAGTGAGTGTAACATAAGACAGAAATGGTTAGGTAGTCTAATGTTATTAGACTTCTGTATTATACATATAGGTATATGTATATTGTATATGATCGATCTATGAATAAAAGTATAGTTATTTTTCAATATTTTAATTTTTATTGTACGAAAACGTCGAATTAATTTATTTTCACCAAGGAAACTACCCAATTAGGGGATCTAGATGTTAAAAATAGTGTTTCAATGATATGTAGACAAATCTAATCACCATTTTAATACGCTTCGCAGATTGTTTTTAAAGATTAGGACCATTATCACAGAATACAATACTTAAGCCAATAAGAGTATGTGCTTTCTCTTTACCTGCGTCAATAGCGTCAGTATAGTCTATCTCTATAGCCCGGGGCGGCAGTGCCTGTATGAGCGCGGTACTGCGCCGTTTCAGCTGTTTGTTCTCCTTGTACCACTCGCCAGCTTGCTGCATCACCCTGGAATAGATACCATCATTCAGTTAATAGGGAAATTGTTAATATAGGCTTGGAGCAGGAATTGCAAATGGGTGGTTTTAGTCAAAAAGACGATTTCACAATGAGAAGAGTGATTTAATGATAATCTGTAAGTTGTTACCATGGAGTTTCTCGTTCTCCTCCATCGGAATCTACACTTTGGAACGAGCAAATAGATTCACTAACAGGACTGACCGACAGACTATATTTTTTCATTTTTAAATCTTTGTTTGACGTTCAAAAGTCTCTGTAAGGGTCTAATTGAAATAAACGATATAGCTTTGACTTCGACTATGAATAATTAATTTTCCACCACTTTTAACCATTATTACCATTACTCCACCCAAAAGTGGGATTGTAAATGTATCTCTGTATTTATTTTTCTTTATGTAACACCAAACTAGCAAACGAATTACCTGATGGTAAGACCAGAAGAGTTTCAAGTGAGTTGCTGACTTTTTTGGGGATTTTTGAGTATTTCGGGTAAGGTTTGAAATGAAACCATACCTGAGCATTATTAAGTAAGTTTGACATCATAGGTTCATCATATATATTTGTGTGAAATATAAGTGTGAGAGAGGTATGCTTCGGCACAAATGCGTCGGCTCAACCGTAGTTATACCACAGCCTCATAGAAAACCGGCGTAACACAACCACAGCGTGTGTTTCGCCGTATGAGTGAGGTCCCACAATCCCTCTCCAATCCTTAAATCTCCAAATGCCTAATCCCTAAAACGTCAGCAACGCACTCGTAATTCCTCAGCTGTTGGTGCAGGTGGACACCAGATGGACGGCGCTGATTGCTTACCACCAGGTAATTCCTCTTTATTTGCCGACATATCACATGAAAAAAATTATACCTACTTCCCTATATTATAAGGGACAGAAAATTCTCAAAACAAGACCTTGAATTTCACTATACATATAAGTACGTCAAATTAGTTTTTAAAAACGCCTTACTTGAGATAAGCAAATGGATGCACGTTTTGTTAATTAGGTAGGTACTTTACTACCAACCTTTGCCAAGGTATTTGTAAAGATAACGCATACAGTTTACGTTAACTGCGTTCTTTGAATTCTGGGTTTAAATATTGCGAGTCATGTGTCATTGAAGGAGGATATTTCCTCAAACAAATATTTGTTGTGTCGTTACTGGAGGTAACAAATGGTAGGTAGTAAAAATGTGATAAGTCGGCAAACAAGCAGACGGATTACCTGATGGTAAGCAACCAGCGCCGCCTATATACACTCGCAACAATGTAGGAGTAACGAGTGTGTTGCCGACCTTCTGGGGATTAAGGTTTTGGTTATTTAGGGAAACACCTACCTACTAACTCAATTAACAACTTATTTTTTTTTTTTATTTATCTAATTCTTAACTTTTTTGTTTTTTTTTTCTCTTATATTCAATGTGATGTAAATTAAGTAATTTAATATTATTTTATAAGCTAGTAATAACCCTCTTTGCAACGCCTGGATAAGGCCGTTAAGCTGTGCCTGCTATTTTAATTTAAGATCCTTGTACCCACCTTAACATGCAAATAAAGAATTTGAATTTGAATTTGAATTTGGGGGAGGGAAAGGATTGTTACCGGTAACCTCACTCACACTGCGAAACAAACCGCTGTGGTTGTTTTACGCCGACAGGTATAAAGTCAAATTTCATTTCTGAATCGACTTCCGAACAAGGGATTTCAGGACAAGCGGATTCACGCGAAAACGACTGAACCGATTTGGTTGAAATTTACTTAGAAAAGTGATACCCTGGATTAACACATAGGATGCTGTTTATAGTATAGACTATTCATATATTTTATCAAGTTCAAAATATTTTGACTGCACGGTTGACGCAGTGGCTGGGTAAATGGTTGCTGTGCAAATGTCGATGGTTCGATTATGGCACGAAACAACACTTTGTGTGATCCAAATTGTTGTTTCGAGTCAGGTGGTTTATGTATTGTATATTACGAATTTGTATGTTTGTAAACGTACCCAAGACACAGAAGAAAAAACTAGTGTAGGGCAAAGTTTTAAAAATAATGTCCCCATATCCACTTACTTGTGCATAACTCCAGCATCCACATCCCTCTGGTTCTTGAGCTGCTGGTATTCATTGAACAGCTTCTCCGATACATTCTTGAGTTTGCTAAGCTCCCTAGACCGCTCCCTGAGCTCCGATTCCAGATGCTGTCTCTCCTCGAACAGAATATTGTATCTCCTTTGCAAGTCATCGTACTCGCGTTTAGCTGGAAAATAAGAGAAAGATAAAGTTATAGAGAGGAAAAATATTACAAAGAATGTTTTTTTTGTGAGGGGAAAATCATCAAATGACTTCTCCCGTCCAGGGCCGGGCGGGAGGGAGTGTCAGACTCTTACTGACTAAAAACCCCCCTGTTCCTTCTCCTGCTCTGGGCCGAGATCGCGGTGCCTCATTGCGCTTACCCCGCAACCCCGGACAAAGAATGGTTGGTAGATGGCTCGACCGGACTGTACCTAAAACAACTACAGCGTTGTGTTCTGTCATATGATTAAGGTCACAGGAGGCCCAATCCTTCTCCTTCCCATCCCTAAATCTTCGAAACCATTATCCCGAAAGGCCTGCAACTCATTCGTAATTCCTCTGATGTCCATGTGAAGCGCCGATTGCTTACCATCAGATATCTGCTCGTTTGCCGACACCAAAGGAGTAACGAGTGCGTTGCCGACCTTTAGACCTTTGAAGGATGGGAGCAGGTAGAGGTATTGGGCCTCCGGTAACCTCACCCACGTGGCGAAACAGAACGCTGTCGTTGTTTCACGCCGGTTTTCTGTAAGGCCGTGGTATCACTCCGGTCGAGTCAACCCATTCCATACACACAAAGTAGTATATATTAAAAGGTTATTGAAACGCTTTCGTCACTTATATAGATTTATTATCTATCTATTTGTGGTAATGGGTGCTATATGTATAAGAATGACACAATTAAAACTACTCATCACAAACACTCATCCTTACAATTATTATTTTCATGTTCTATAGTATCATATGAAATGCCCTACAGTACAGTACAGCACAGCTCATTAATATTACTCATTAGTTCACAATACATACGTAATTATATATGTTTGTAATATCATTCAGTAAAATGGATACAGTCATCAAGTTGTATACCTACTTATTGTAAAAGTTAATAGGTAGGATGAGTCAATTTACGAAACAGTAACTCTTTCACTGTTTGTTTATACTTCAATACCTATTAACCAGAAACATTCAATTTCATGCATAACATGATTATTATAAGTACTTGCATTTCATTCATAACTATTAAAATTCCTTATATTATAACTAGGTACCTACTGCCGCGCTGTTTCATCTGCTGCGAGGCTCCTTTCGGTCGTAGGGTGCTGTTTTATAGCCTATACCTAGCACTCAGAAACGTTGTAGCTATCTATCAGTGAAAGAATTTGGGAAATCCGACAAGCGGTTCCAAAGACGCAAATTTTATATAAACTTTTACTTTGTACCAATGACAACGAAAAACGTGCAATTTTTTTTTTGTAAGTACCATAGAAAAAAAAATATGTTCACTAAAATATCTAAAGGAGTTTTAATGAGATATTTTTAGAATATTATATTTAACTATTTACTGACAGTTTATAACTGTTTCTTTTGCTACATAAACAATAGATAATGCAATTCGAAGTTTCAATGATTTCTTACTTGAAAACTAAGGCGGCTTGCTGTGATAAGGCATATATTATGTATATACATCAACATTAGCATATTTATATTATGTATATACATTAACGTTACTATAGAGCCATAATGTGATTATTGACATGACTATTAAACATCCAAGTTAAATAGATTTTGTTTATATGTATATTATTATACTAGCTGCTCTCCCACGGTTTCACCGGTTGCTCGGTTTCATTTATTTGAAGCGTGGTGTTTTAAAATACGTTATACCCTATAGCACTCAGGAATATTGTAGCTACCTATCAGTGAAAGAATTCACCCCCTACATACAAATTTACAAATTTTACCTCTTTATATTATTAGTATAGAAGTTTAGATTACTTCGAACATAAACCGAAGAAAAATTTTTTATGAGAATATGAAAATTTTCAGAACTATGATTATCACAGTAGTTAACGCTAAAGATTTTTATCAATCCAGATTGGATATCTAATCTGTGTGTTTATTGTGTATTTTTTTATTTAGGTAAGCTCTTATGATGCCATGCCTATATGTATGTGAAGTTATCAGCAAATAGTGATTGGTAATCAAATTAAACATTAGTGGAAATTTTTAGGTATTTCATTTATATTGGAATATTAATGTGACATTATAATTTTGTTAGAAAGAAATGCAGATAAGTTAAGAAAGTATATTTTAGGTTACTGTAATAATATCAAAATTAGATTTAAGTTATCTGTGATGGCCAAATAGTATGTTATAAATAAATAAGTGAAAAGCATATTGATTTCTAAGTACGTCATGATAAAAAAATTATTATTAACTTATAGCTTGTTCAAATGTATAAATAAAATATTACTAAAACCAGGACAATTAATCATCTGTTGTCTATACAAATATAAAGACAAAAAATGTGATTGTTTGTTTTAGTTGAATAGCCTCTATCCAAAACAAGTACAGTTATAAAAAAATATTTTACAAGATTTATTAGCAAGCTACACTATCCCAGGTGATCATAGGCTATAAACTTTTTGGGTGAAGCCATGGGGCACCAGTAGCAGCAGTCATAAGATTAAATGCTGAATGACATATTAGTTGTGGATTCATTATAATCTTTAGATCTTCTTCTAGCTCGGTGTTGGCCACATCTTTTATGAATAAACTCTTGGATTAAAGAATTTATTTATCACTTCCTACTCTCGCGCGGTTTCACCCTCTGCTCGGTTCCATTTAATTGGAGCGTGATGTTTTAGGCTAGCGTAGGCTACTATAGCACTAAGGAACATTGTAGCTATCTATCAGTGAAAGAAATTTGGAAATCCGATCAGCGGTTCCAAAGATTACCCCCTACATACAAACTTACAAATTTTACCTCTTTATAATATTAGTATAGATTTATATTCTACAGAAGAAGTTATTAGATAGTCAGACTTGTGAAATTAAAAATAACATTTTTCTATCACATTATCCTATTTAAAGGTTATGGAAAATGATAAATAAATATATTTATACAACTAAATTAAAGTTATCCTTATTGAATACTAAACTATTTTTACGACAAAAACATACAAATAAGAATTGTATGCAGTATTGTAACATTATCAGTACAGACCTATGTTAACAGCGAGTCATTCAAATTATTTTGTTGTATAAAATGAGTGATGACCTAATATTAATATTACACACAGGTATATAATACTTTAAGTATCTATTAATGTTCCTTTATTTTATTTCTTAGAATATGGTAGTACACAGAAGAAGAGTATTCCATAAATATATATTTTGCTAAGGCTTAGTGTTAAAAGTTATGCATGATAAAGTTAAGTATCAGATTTATATAAGTTATCCTTAAGTGTTATTTTAAAGATTTCTTGCTGATGTAGTGTATTTTCAATTCAAAACTTATATAATGTTGGAACTTTATGTTTGTTTTAGTTTTGATTCTCTTATTAGTAATGTGCCAAATATTGTTATTAAATAAGTAACGAACACAAAGTATCAGTAAATATTTTTAGTTTAAAAAGTCATCTTTACATGACATTACGGTAGCATAGGTACACTTTAATCAAACTGAAAAATATATTTTGCAGCGTGTTTAAAACTTTATTACAATATGCATTGCAGACATCACAATCTTGAAAGACAGGAAAATTCTTCGAAATTTAAATGATCACAACATTACGCGTCATAATGGTATACGTGTACTAACATAAACTTAGATTTATAACACAAATTTATTCAAAGTAACATACAAAACAATATCACAAAATAAAAAGAAAACAAAATATGAAAATTAGGTTGTCAGATTTGACATTTCATCAAATGAAAACAATAATAAAAATAGTGTTGCGCACTTAACAGTCGATAGCAATACGTTTCTTCTATGAAAACAGTTAAATTCACCGTTATTCATATATTTCTTTTATTCTTTGTATTCGGTTACTCACTATCCCATACGTGTAATGCGTAATAAACAGTTAGCCTTTGTCAACCTTAACCTATATCAAGCAAAAGTAATGTTTATGATTACTTTACTCACGAAATTTGCTTTTACAAGTTTAGGTATTTTACATGAGCAAGGATTGGGGAAGATTACGATTTAATGTCCAAGCAACAGGTTATCGTCTGTCATAATCCAACAAATACGCGAATAGGATTTTGTACTTAGGTTTTCGTTTGCATACAACCCGGGAGATATTGTGACATGCGCAGTAGAAACCGCAAAAAATCACGAAGCTAAAGATTTTATTAGAAATATGGGGAAAACACTTACCTTTTTCGGTTTTAAGTAAATATGCTTTGTGTTTTCGCTCAGCCTCCTCGTATCTGTTTTTCCACTTTTCCACGTATGTGGAGATCGCGATGTTAGCCTCCTTGGTGTGTTGTTGCGCGTCGGGCGGCGTCATCCTGGCGGCAGTGGCGCGCGGGATCCTCGTGGCCGCGCCGCCGCCGCCGCTGCCGGGACAGAGCGAGACGGCGCTCCGACCGCCTTGACACTGATTGTTACTCGACGCGATCGCAAATACATTATCACCGTTCCTTTTAATCATTTTTGCATTCGATTTTTATTGCACGCGCGCGTCGAACGCTCGCATCCTCCCGTTTTCACGTATGCACGGACGCGACACGTGTTAGATCAACAGGCTGGTGCGTCGCTAGTTGGAAAGTGTTGAAATTAAATTCGCGAAAGGACTTCTTTGTTCTCGCCGTTGAGGAAAATACGTGCGATATTATACACAGCACATCGGAGTATGTCACGCGCGTTCACTTGTAAAACAGCCTTGATCGTATAGAAGCTGGAACAAATAATTCAATATTTAATATAAAAAGCGCGTTTAAAACACAAGAATGATATCCGAGTGTCAGATTTCAACTAAGGTTACTAACGTAAGCGTGTGGCTGATATGATAATGAGGACTTCGTCATTGTGAGTCATACGGCTTGGTGTTTACGCTTTTTGTTTACGTTCGACGTTGCCTCATAGTTGGCAGTGCAGTGTTATCATTCAATACTTCTTAGAATCTTGTTAGAATTTAGTCAGAAACATCTGTGCATGGAAAGCTTATTAGTTAATCAAAGAATCACATAATTACTGTTACACACTTCCTAATGTCTATCAATAAATTGTACTACATCGTAGCTCGTTACTCATTTACTTTATTCCTGATAATTTCTTCGATTGGTTTTACATTTCATTGAAATTTATTTATAAGTACATACATATTTTTCTGCAAGTCGATCATTGCTTAGCTTATGCTTCTAGAAATCGTTTTAGTTATTGATGTTGTTTTTAAATAGGTGTATCAAGTAATTTAGTTATTATTTCACTTTGATCATCTGTCAAATAAATTACTGTAGGTACTTATATAAAGTATTATTTTTAATTCATTTTCAATGTAACAAAAAATGACACAAACGAATATCTACAATATATTTTAAATAGTCTACATACATTATTAATCTCACACGGTAAAAGCTACGATGTGATTAAATTTGGATTGTAATATTTTAATTGTGATTATAAGAGATCTGTAAACCTACTATTCATATTCATCTTAAATACGTCTATAATCACACTAGCCTCTTGTCATAAATATAGATATGAGTGAAGTGGAACAAAAATTATAAATTGATTTATAAAACTACATAATGAAAAACTTACCGATACTAACACAACAACACAAAAGGCTTCTATCAGCACTATGTCACATTAGTCACTGACAAATAAAATATCACTGACACTGAATAAAAAAAAAAACAAATTAGCGGCACGCTAGCACATGTCAAAATCCACAACTAAACGCAGTGCACGCATTATGTCCAAGTAGGGCTGAACGGAAATTCTAAAATTAAACCATTTCCAGTGAAACGGAGAGTCGAACCGTCTTGTCTATGTAAGAGACATGCAACGTGTGGCTTGTGTGTTAAGTTAGTGATTTAATTGTCACGACCGAGATGCGAGGCATTAATCTCCTCTTCTTGCTAATGTCCTCTTGTTTATCTAAGTTTTATTGAACTCCTAATGGCTGGTTGACTTTTGAATTGATACATAAATTTTAGGTAACAAATGACGTTTCCAAAATTTCTTAAATGTTAAGAAAAGATTTTATAACATTAATCAGTAGTATAAAGCAGTAGTAATTCAGAATACATCTGATATAAATAACTTGGTTTACTATTAATGGGATGTTTGTTATTATTTTATTAAAACCAAATCTTGTATTTTGAGGTAAAAAAACGGTACCTGAAATGTAAATAATTAGATGTTAAATGCTAAACATCTATTATTCTCTGGCATATCTCAGACACTAAGTCTTTTAGAATGTACTGATACATCCAATCATCCATACATGAAGAACACCTGCAGGTTTGAGTCATTCATCAAGGAACAATGAAACATAATAGGAGTGTTTATTAAATCTACAGCTTTGATATAGAATCATCGTCCACTTACGCTTAAAACAAGCTGGTAGACAACAGATGGGACAGTCACTAGCTTTGTTTGGAGACTGAAAGCCAGAAGTTCCAAAGGCACTAGAACTACGATGGCAAATGTCGTGACAGTAAAACATTATAGCGTCCCATTTATATTAATTGATATAACAACCCAGCCCGTTATCTTTTCTCTCACTTATCCTCATGGGCAAAATTTGTACCTACGTATAAATACTACGTTCAAAGTAATTACTTCCTCATTTAATTTTTGAAGATTATCGTCCCAGTAGGTTTACCTACTTAGCTACGATAGCGTTGCTTTCTGCGAAGTGTTCATAATTTTAACGGGTAGGGACTTTTATGCAACTCGCACAAAACTCGAGAATACCGTTCTAAAAATGAGATCATGAAATTGAAATGAGGGTTCGACTCATGAATAATTTGAAGCATCCAAGGCACCAATGCTGCGCTGTTACATTTTAAGCTTAAAAAACCAATCGAAACAAAAATCACGTGGAAAAACCAACTTGGTAACTGAAACCAGACAGACCTTTAAGAACCATATTTAGGTAACGAGGTCAAAATGAGGTTCACCTTTGTAAAGATCTTCGCCAACATTGCTATCGCAAGGCAATCCGATTACATTGATACCCAATTTTGTCGTATTACAACGTGGCTATTCATTAAATTTGACTTTCAATACACTTAAAATTTATTTGGTAATGGTTAAGTGATAGTTATCGATAATGAGCACGTTACCACTTTAAAACGAAACTTAGTGAAACTTCAGAGGCTATTAAAAAAAACTTCTGACAAAAATTATTGAAGAGTGAAGGTTACTTATGTCGTAAAATTGCGTGAATACTTGAATAACAGAACAATCATGATACAGGGAACTGTAGATAAAGTAGCAAGTAATATCATTAAAGACGTCCACATTAAAAAAAAAATTTAAAATTTCGCGAAATTAATTCGAAAAACTGAAGCGTGTGCTGGTGCCGCCCACGACCCACTCATTATTCTTTCAACTTGAGACGCAAACTTTGATTTACTGTGAAATTGAATTTATACGTGTGCCTGATCTCTTTGAAACTGTTGAAGGAAAAACTTTAACTTTGTCGGTTTCAGATTTACGTTACTTTACGATCTTAGTACTTTTAGCTAATGTTTTAGTCACTAGTAGCAGCAAGTGTTAACTATTAATAGTTATTGAAAAATCAACATTTGTTACTTTGATCCTTTTAGTGATTCTACAATAAGTTTATTGATTTAAAAATATGTATATTTGAAACATCAAATGAAAGCCAGCATTAATCAATCACACCACTTAGATCGCTATCCAGCACACAATCACAAAAAGTGAGAACATAACCCACATTTCTAGGAAACACTCACATCACTTCCTGCAGCGAGTAAATTCGGCAGATATTATTTTTATGAGCGAATAATAAACGGTTGTGCGACCATTCACCTCGGTCCTATTTCTGAGCTCTTGTTAACCTCTGCTCGTAAAATCTCGCTACTGGCTGTAAGGAGGACGTAAAAATGTTGCTTATACTGTGCTCGTACAATGTCATTGATGAGCAGTCGTGTTGAGTTTATGACTGAACGCATATTTAACTAAATAAAAAACGAACTTAAGCTTTTTGGGTGGTAATGGGCAGTGACCGGTTTTATTTATATAGCCCCATTTGTTTGTGAGCTGAATTGGCGGACTTTTTAACGTAGGCCATGTTTAAACTTTCTAAAAAATAATGAGTATGTCTGCTGATCAGTTTAACAGTATTCATCAATATCACTCACGCTCTTCATTATAATGATCGCTTATCTAACATTCATGAATCTACCTCGATTCTTTTAAAATGTATCTATAAATAATAGAATTTAAAGGCCATTTCAATTTTCGGAACGACTAATTTAAGGAGTGTTATACCCTCTCTCTCTCTCTCCAAACTAGAGTTCACACCTCGGAAAATTGTTTTTAAAGCAAAAAGTTTCTAATTAAGCCACAACAAACTGTATCCGCCCAAATCCTCATGACAACAGCAAAAACAGGGAAAACAACGCAATTTTGAGTCAACTGGTGTCAACTGGCGGCAATTATTTGATTCGATTAGCGCAGTTTTTGCGATGGCGTGTAATTAGCCGTTATAGTGGCAATCTATCCTGACTCCGAACGACATTCCTCTCTCCCACATAAAATGTGTCACTCTATCCGAGTCCTTGTTTGCGGTGACTACACATTACTACACTCAGATGGATTTGTAGAGGCAACTATTGAACGCTAGCGTTGTAAATGTTAACAGACAAACATTCTTTCATTGTCTTTGTAATTTTCTAAAACAGGTCAAATTAATTAACACGACTTCAAAACGCACACGTGCCCAAACTAGTATTCTTACTTTGAAATGAAATGCAATAAGTACATAAACATAATAAATAAATTTCAATGGCATTTAAACTCTTTCTAGAAATTGGGCCCTTTAGCGAATATCCTTTTAGCACTACAACGCGTGTCCCTCGCACTGTGTGGGCGGCGACAGGATTGTGCCCGTGCTTATTGCAAAAGTTTTTACTGCAGTCGTGGGTTGTGATCTAGTTTCAAGCAAATATAAATAAATTATTAAAAATTAATTTTGTAATTGCAATACGACAAACAATGTTTAAATAAGTTTGATAGTTATGATAAATTGCTTAGCTTTAATCACAAATAATTTTATTACAAAAATTGGTATACATATTTATAAGCAAATAAACGCCCTCGAATATTATGGACTTTCATAAGGTATAACTAGTTATGTTCACAATGAACAACGGTAAACGTTTTTTTATCGATATGTTTTAATGGGAACAACTCTACGATCGATAATAATAGTCAATTTCAATAACCCAGGCAGTTATTTAAGTAGGTAACATTTTTAAAAATTAATGTCATTTGTCACCAAGATAGAGATTTCATTTTTATACAAATAAATATTTGAACATTTGAACATAACATTATGCTTAACGTACCTACATTGAGTAATGTGTTATCCTGTTTTGTTATCGGCTACTCACGAGATTTAACGGCTGTTTTTATAAATGGCCGTTTTAATGTGTTGCGAAAATTTACCTGTCAACATAATTTTGTATTTAATTGATGATGACGTATTTTTCAAGCACTGGTACCTAAGTCATAAGAGTCACCAAGTGTCGACTCAAGCTGTAATATTAATAAAGAAAACAACGTAAGTATCTACTTACATGCCTAAATCCAAATCAAATTGCGTCTTTTTGCCTAAAAATAAAGATGCAGTTTACATCTCATAAATCTCTAGTAATTTATGACATCAATACTAATGTCGGCTTTGACTGACAGATACTACTTTATTTAAAGATTTGTCCCCGTAAAGTCAAGGATCATGGCCAACTAGTTTTGCTCTACATTTGCCTATTTACAATTATATGTTCAGCCTTGACAGTGAGTCAATGAGATA